CATCCGCCAGCCAATGCCGGCTGGCGACCCCCCCGGGGGAGGGCCTTCTCTATTGCAGCTCCAGCCCTCTGGAACGACCTCCCCGTTGAGATCCGGACCCTTACTACTCTCCCGGCCTTCCGTAAAGCTACTAAGTCCTGGCTGTTCCGGCAGGCCTGGGGCTGTTGAAGTATCCAGCCCCACTTTAATTGTGAATGTTGTTGTATTTTAAATTTTGTATTGTCTTATTTATCCCCTTTCCCTTTTTATTGTAAGCCGCCCGGAGTCATTCGGGAGTGGGCGGCGTACAAGACCAATAAAACCAAACCAAACCAAAAGAAAATAAGACCCAGACTTACTTATTTTCGGGAAAGCATGATATTAACAGTAGTACATAGTGGAAATTTGTCAAAGAAGGGTTAAGTACCTAAACCATCATGTTCAGAACTATGAATAAAGCTCCCAGAACACATACATACTGAAGTTTTGAGCTCAGAATTACCTTTACAAATTTGAAATTTTTGAATCAAAAGGTTTTTGATATGGAAACAGGATTGACTATGGTAGTAAAATATCTCATTTGTAAGACTGAGAACTTTTTAAAAAAAAACTTGGTTAGGAAAAAACATCTGATTAATTCCTAAGGCAACCGCATGTATCTTCTTTGGTCTCTTCCTTTAGAATAAAATAGGCCTAAATTATATTGCTCAGGACTTGAAAACATCTTACAAACTGTCTCTAGTGCTAGTGCACTTTTGAACACTTGGCACAATTTTTAAAAACTATTTTTAAACCTGCATGCCAATTTCTTCAAAAGAAACTTAAGAAAATAATTTTCAACCTCCCCTTATTTAATGTCTTTCTCAGCATTAGGTTGTAGACCAGAAAATCCATCTCATAACTGTTTCTTCAGGCACATTGATTGTACTTGTTAACTGCATTACAAAGTCCATTGACAAATGATTTGGACAGCTTGGTAACTTGTGCTATGTTTAAAAGTTTCTCATTAGAGGGCAAAAAAATGATGGTAACATATTTTTATACCGTATATAACAAAAGTATGTCTGTGCTTTTGAATTCTAGGCCTCCTTTTTACATATGGAGTCACAGGGAGTGGAAAAACGCACACTATGACAGGATCTCCTGGTGAGGGAGGTCTGCTTCCTCGTAGCTTGGACATGATCTTCAACAGCATAGCACCTTTTCAGGCCAAGCGCTATGTGAGTTCAGTCTCCAAGTCTTGGGAATTGGCAGGTTAGCACAAATAAATACAAGGGCCTAAAATTGACAACCATAAGACCTTGAGGAAACGAGGGAGAAGGGAAATTGGGAAAGAGAAGGAAAAAGCAAGTGGAGACGAAGAATCCCCAAACACTTTGCTGAAAATAGGTGGTTCTGAAGGTAACATCTGATTGTACTTGATGCATTTTCAACTTGTTAAAATTGTGAGAGTGAGTGAAGCAGGTCTGCCAGTCTCAAGTAAAGTCACCCCCCTTTTCAAATGAACTCAAGCAATTCTGGACAGGACTGGAGGGATTTAACTGCTTCTTCCTGTGACCCTTAATCCTCAGGTCTTCAAACTTGATGATAAGAATGGAATTGAGGTCCAATGTGAAGTGGATGCTTTACTTGAACGCCAGAAAAGAGAAGCACTCCCAGTTCCCAAGACACCGGTGGGCAAGTAAGTGGCTCTGACTGACTGGGATAATTCAGGAATGTTATGGATGCTTCATTGAAAGAATAACTGCAGATGACTTTCACCTTGGCAGGCGACAAGTAGACCCTGAAATTGCTGACATGATAAATGTGCAAGATAATTGTAAACTGGAAGATGTTGATGAAGACAGTGTCTACAGTGTGTTTGTGTCTTACATTGAAATATATAACAACTACATTTATGATCTTTTGGATGAATCCCCACTTGATCCCACAAAACCAAAGTGAGTAGTTTTTCTTCAATCGGGAACTATGCTAACAAGCCAGTTATAGTAAATGCAAGTAAAATTGTGGTTCAGTGATTTAGATTCAGGGAAAGGTAATGTATATAGTGGATTATAGATCCAGTGGTTGTTGGCTTGGGGAAAATAGGTTCTGTCCGGTTCTAAGCCTGTTTAGCAAGATAGTAGTAGCATCATACTGTTTTGAGCTCTAAATTCAGAGATATGGCTTTCCCATGTTCAAAGCCTTTGAAAAATATGTTTTAAAAGTCTGCTTTGTCAAAAGACATTGCTAGGTAGGACTTGCTTTTAAGGCTGTTGTTTCTCCTGTTGATACTCTTTGGTTTGACTTGGTATAACTATTAGTTGTTCTCAGAATTTGGACAATTCTTTAACAGGGCATGGGAATGTTTTCTGAGATTTAGTAGCTTTCATGATAACAATGGTTCTTAAGGAAATGCTCTTCAGCTGAATATTTAGTAACAAGGAAAGTCACTTGGGAAAATTATTTTCTTTGGTAGGTGGAACAACTGTGGCACTCCACTGCGGAATGCTGACTTCACGTATGTGGACATTACCCTCCCTCCCTTTGTAGTAATCTGTGGTCACTTTTTACCTTGTAAAGCTTGTAATGTGACTGTTGCTCTTTATTGTTAGTAGTTTGCATGGACAAGAGAATATGCTTGTATCCCTGTGTGTAATCTGGACGGTCACCTTCGCTTGCCTGGATAAACTAATGGTAGCTGTCAGTCTCCGCAGAAACTAGAATGCATCTATCTAATTCAACATTGTCTTACGTAACTGTCAAATATTGATAACTGATATCAGTAGTTTGCTGAGGAAGTTGCCATTAACTGTTTGAAGCCCCCCTTGTGCGTGCAGAAACGGCTTGCCATTGGTTGCTTTCCTGCATGTATTATAGACTTAATTAGTGCTCTTGAGGCTGATTTCAACCGTGTTATTGTAATGTAGCTACTGAGGAGTCAAGACAAAATGCTTGCATCTACCTCTAGTCATCTTTTGGCTGTGTTGTTTAAACCAGGGGTGTCCAAACTTGGGAACTTTAAGACTTGTGGACTTCAACACCCAGAATTCCCTAGCCAGCATGGCTGGCTGGGGAATTCTGGGAATTGAAGTCCACAAGTCTTAAAGTTCCCAAGTTTGGACACCCCTGGTTTAAATTATTAAAAGGGACTAAATGTTTTAGATAATTGATATCATTGGAATATTCCTTTTGCAGGTTTCCTCAATCCAAAATTCTCCGTGAGGATCAAAATCACAACATGTATGTTGCAGGTTGCACTGAGGTAGAAGTTAAATCTACAGAAGAAGCCTTTGAAGTGTTTTGGAGAGGTAAGAAATGGTGTTACTTCCTGAAAATGTCACTTTAAACACTCCATGTTAAATCATTTTGAAGACAGTGTGCTACTGAGTCAAAAAGCCATGAAGGGGTGAAAGGAACTGTGTTTTATTCAGCATGTTTTTGTATTAGCCAACCAGATAATCGGCTGTCTCCTGAAAAGCCCCCAATAGGACTTGGGCGCCCCCTAAAAGTCATGCTGAACTGTCCCATTGATCTGCTTTTTCCTTTTTAAAGCCTTGTGGTTCAAGGGATTGTCATTATAAAATAAATCATCTACAAGGTGCAGCATTTCTCTTTTGTTTCTTTTGTATTTGCAGCTGTGACTTTTGGTGGTAAATTGCAAGCAGTTGGAAGGGTGTATTTGTAGCAGAATACATATTCATTAACTGTAATCCTTTTCCATTTAGAATTTACTAGACAGTTTGTGTTCCATTGGGTCCTTATTTCAGAGATATTTCCTTAAACAGAGAAACAGAATGCCCACAGATGGGGAAAAAAACAAGGGGGAGTGACTTCTGACTTTATGCTGGCTTCCCCATTGAATTTTCTTATGGAAAGCTGATGGTGCATTGGAAATCTCCCCCTGTCCCCATTTGCTTTGCTTATGAGAAGCTTGTGGAGAGGAAGTCAGTGGGGAAACTGGCAAGAAGTTGCAAGTTCAAGGTCAGCCCACAGGTAAATGGCTGCTGTCGGATGAGGGAGGGTGTGACATGTGTGAAAGGTGCAGCACGGATTGGGGAGGTGCATGAAAATGTGGCACAGGTTGTGGTGCATATGGTGTGTTTTGGATCAGGGAGGGCATGCAGGATTGGGGAGGTTGTTGTGTAGGTAGGAGAGACTTACCCAAGGAACTTGACACCTTCACTGCCAACTTCCCCATTGCCTTGTGGGAAGCTGTCAGGGAGCGTTAGAAATGATCATGTGACCACAATGAGGTTGATGGCTGAACATCCATAACTTTTTCAAATTTTGTTCCTGGAGGAGTAATGAATCCCTGCATTTGATAGTTAGCCTAGTTATGGTATCTAGGTTTAATGATTGTTGCTCTATTGTACACTGTTTTGCCCAGTTAAAGTTTACAAATAAACAGACATGTTTTAATAGTATATGGATAGATGGGTAACATCTGGATGTATTGCATTTTTGTGGTTGTTTATCTCCCTAAGCTCACAACAAAAAGCAATCCAATAAAAAAAGTTAGAACAATATGCATACATAAAATAAATAACTACTTGAAAACAAAAACAACCAGGTTCATCAACAAAATCCATTCTTGCATCCAGCTGATCAAAGCCATTGTGTAAGCGCCCCGCCGATTGCCAATCCACCAAGCACAGTGGGCCAGCCATGCGGTTAGAACCTTCCTAAAAGTTAGCAGGTTGGGGCAAATCTAAGTGGGGGGGGGGGTGTTACAAAGATCCTAAATGTTTCTGCCTTTTCAGATAGGGAAGGTGCTCTTCTGCTGTTGGGTTGTTTTTTTTCTTTATTCGTTCCAGGTGCACCATATTCTTTTAGAGACAATAGCTAAAGTGATGGTTTTGATGGCTGGACTCCACTTGATCTAAATATTTTTTTTCCCTTTTAATAGGCCAAAAGAAGAGGCGCATTGCACACACTCAACTGAATCGAGAGTCCAGTCGTTCACACAGTGTATTTCTAATTAAACTGGCTCAGGCTCCTCTCAATGCAGATGGAGATAATGTTCTGCAGGTAAAATTAAGGTTGGATAGCAAACAGATGATTTCTTTCTTTTAGTTAACTTTTCAAAAAGTGATAATTGTTCGACCAGTAGCACTGGTCATGATAACTGTTGCTGAGAATCCTGGCTGTAGCGTATGCTTTCCAAAAAGTCCAGAAATTCTCAACTTTATTTCTGTAAATATAGTTTCCTGATTGAAAACCATAACATCTCTTCTCTTGCAGGAGAAAGAGTTAATATCCTTGAGCCAGTTATCGCTGGTTGACCTAGCAGGGAGTGAGAGAACAAACAGAACCAAAGCCGAAGGAAACAGACTCCGTGAAGCTGGTGGGTGCTATGATACCAGTGAATGGATGTGTGCGTCTTCTTTCAGTCAAGGATTTCTGCTTTGGATTCAAGTGTACCATTCCTTCAAGCAAGCAGGAGATACTCTTTTAAATTGCCCTTCCCAGCAGAAAGAAACAGGGCTGACTGACATGTGAGGCCACAAAATGACCACAGAGGCCAAGGAAGTTTCTTTAAAAAATTCTTCTCTATCCAGAAGGTTTTTCTGGCTCTTGGTTCTGTATGTTTTTTCTGTAATACAGGAACTAAGATAGCTCTTGTTTCTTATTGTAAGTGATAGATAAAACTTGGAGGAAAATTAATATGGAATTCCTTTAGTTTTGAAAAACTATTCAGGTGAAAAATATTATTTTAACTTTAATCACAAATCCTTGAATCATTCTCAGTCCTTGCTCTTACTATGCAAAAGTAAAATAGCATATTTATCTATACATTATACTACTTTTCAGGCCTCCTTTCTGCAAAGATGGATATGTATTTGGAACATTTTGCAAAGATGAATATGCATTTTGGGACATTGTTATTTCGGTGGAATTTTCCTAACTTGTGGTGTTTTCTCAGAGTTAGAAAAACTATCAGTTTTCTGGGCAACTGTATGGAAGTAGTTTGGCATATTCTTCTAGAATTTGTTGTACTTTCTAGTTTAGTCTAGAGTCTTGGGATTTCCTCATAGTCCAGTGCTGAATCTGCCAAGATTGGCCTGATGTGGCCCCTGTTGTAAATCTTCCCCATATACTTTCCATAATAGTAATTTAGCTAGGGCTTTTCACCACTGTCCAAAATTTAATTAAAATGGTTTTTATATTGGAACTGGAATTTTCTCTTTCCCTACCCTTTCCCAAGGATATTGAAAATGCAAAGTGGTTGTTTCCTTTTCATAGGAAAAGGAAACAACCATGTGCTCCCAAAACCAGGAAATTAAGAAATTATTACAAAGACAAACTGTTTCATGAGTAGGCATCCTATCGGATGGTTGTCAGACAAGTGCCATTCACTCTTCCAGGTAATATCAATCAATCACTGATGACATTACGAACCTGCATAGAAGCTTTGCGAGAGAACCAAACTTATGGAACCAATAAGGTGTGTAGTTACTTATTTCTGTAGAGTTAGTTTTTCCTCCTTTCCTCATTTTCTCAGTTCCTAAACTCTGAGAATGTTTTGTTCTCCTTAATTCTTCAGATGGTCCCTTATCGAGACTCCAAATTGACCCATCTTTTTAAGAATTATTTTGATGGTGAGGGTAAAGTGCGTATGATCGTCTGTGTGAATCCAAAGGCAGAAGACTATGATGAGAGTTTGGTAATTTAAGTTTGTTGTTTAGCTTCAGTTGCTTGAATTTATAAAAACAGTAGCACACTATATATATATATATATATATATATATATATATATATATATATATATATACACACACACACACACACACACACACACACACACACACACACATGCCTTGCTACTGGGGTGGCTGCCCTTTATAGAAACTTTTTTAAATGCTAGAATATTCTTCCTATTCACATTTCAGAATCTGTGCTGTTTTTATATGGTTGCTCATCTCACTCAAAGTGACTCTTGGTGGCAGACAATAAAATCAAAATTAACAATATTAAAAAAATCAGACATTAAACATGGATAAAAATAGAGCAAAGTCACTAGGAGAGATATTATGTATAATACAGTGGTACCTTGCTACGTGGCTGCTTCAAAACTGGTTGAATTTGGATTTTGATGCATTTTGATGTGAAAATGTCACAGTACCCGACCTTTGTTTAGTACCCAACACGCTGCTGGGGGAAGAAGGGGTCAGCTATGGGGAATGAACAGGAAATCAGCTTTGCTGGGAAGGTTGCCGCAAAAGGACGGGGGTGGCCACAGAGGATGGACTGGAAATAGGCTATGCAGAAAAGGTCACTGACATAGGAAAAGGGATAGACAGACAGTCCTTTCCAATTGAAACAAGGGGTTTGTTTGGAACTTGTCCTCTTTACTACCCATCACACCTCCCAAAATGAATTAATGCCAAGTACCAAGGGATAGACTCCCTCTCCCCAGGGGATCCCCAGGCTTGTGGAAAATACAGGTTTTGAGAAACATTTACAAGAAAACAACCAAGCTCAGAGAGCGCCAAGGAATCCACAGTTCAAGCCTGAGCTACAAATATACTCTTCCATTCTTCTAATCCTCTTTTTTTTAAAAAAAAAATTGATAGCAAGTTATGAGATTTGCAGAAATCACCCAAGAAGTGGAGGTTGCACGACCTGCTGACAAACCTCTGTGTGGACTAACTCCTGGTCGGCGATTTAAGAACCAGGTTTTCAGAGAGGAGCTCTCCCGACAGCTGGAAATCCGAGGTGGACCTGTTGATGGAGGTAAATCTTTAGGTTGGTTAGATCACCTGAGACTAATAACAATAGAAATGTCTCCTCCTAGCAATTGCCTTATATAGTTCTTCTGCCTTTACTTACCATGCAGACTCTGATCTTTGTGGATTCAACTAAGTGGCCTGTTTTGTTTCTCTAGACAGAGGCCCCTTGGTCAGAGAATTGCTCCTGCAGAGTTTCCCTCCAGTGCCTTCCTGTGAACTTTTGGACATCAATGATGACCAGACCCTGCCTCGGCTGATTGAAGTGCTTGAAAAGCGGCACCACATTCGGCAGAAGCTGTCAGAAGAGTTTAGCAAAAATGGTTAGTGCTTGGCACCAAGTTGTCTTGTCCTGGCTATAAGTGCATAAATTGTGAGGTTCTTCATGGGAGGGAAAGAATCAACTGATTGCTTACTGAAATCAGCAAATACAGTAGCCTGAAAAATAATCAGAAGAGGTAGTAAGTCTTCCACAAAAAGCTCTTAGAATGTGTGTTTGTCCAAAATCCCGTACCTGGGATTTTCCTGTCATACCTGTTGTAAATTTTTTTTTAAGCATTTTTTTTTAAAGCATTTTATTAAGATTTATAGGCCGCCCTTTTCCCTGAGGGGACTCAGGGCGGCTTACAA